TTAACCAAACATAATTCTCATTCATCAAGGAATAACAAGTGTAATATCCACTAAAGCAAAGCTTAAGTATATAACACCAACAGCGCCGACATCTGACACCAAACCGATCTCGCAAATTGACGCGCCGGAATCCGACACCAAAGAACAGGCTTCCGCTTCTCGCCGACTATATTTATCGTAAATTGGGATCGGAATGTCATACTCTCGGCCAGATCATCGAAATCGCACGCTGACAGATCTATTTCGTCGTTCTCTGCTGATAAGAAGGAAAAGAAAGAAACACGTGAACCAAGTGTCACCAAATTCATTTATTAGATGGATGAGGCCTAGATAAAACTCACTTTGGGCCAACACTAACTCATGCCTAACAAAATCCACTTCGGGCTCAGATCTTCCCGCCTAAGTAAAGAGAAATGGGCAGCTTGAGAAAAAGAAAAAGGTCAACCTCATCTATTTACCCCAGGCCGACATATTGACAACCCGGAGAGCAGGTCCTGAGTGAATGAACCGATTCATCGACAAACAACCTAGTTCTATCAGATTGATTTATAATTTGCTCGTTTTCAACCCCACTTACCTACAGACGATAGCTGGGGACGAGTTTATTTATTCATGCCAACGCTAGTCGGGGCGGAGTTCGTTTACACCAGGCTGAATTTGTCAACGTCGGGGCCTAATCCATTTATGCCGAGACCAAATTCATTTTTTGATACCGGAGTTGACTACGCTTATTATGACGAGGTCAGAATCATTTATCATCACCGGGGCAGATTTAACTTACCATTGCCAAGGCTGAAATTATGCATTACTGCCGAGGTATCTTTTATCTCTGACATTTATATTCGCTCGCCGTAAAGCCTCGGTTCCGATTGAACTGGCGTCCTTATATTTCTTCACTGTTGAGCCTTTGATCCATCCATTAAAAAGAGCCGAATCTCGAAAAATAGTTCGGTGCATAAAAAATGTGTGTTTTCCCCGCAAGAGGCAAGGCACAGAACCTACCATGGGGAAGCACAATTAATGGACCCTCGATAAATCGGTCCTCGTTGCTGAGGCTAAACATGTCCGTACCCTGAAGTTGGTATGGCCTGGCCAAACGCAACACAGCCGGATACTTCCAAGCCCTGAAGATGGCTTGGGGAGGCTGATGCCCCTCGTGGCTAAATCCTGAAGTTGATTTAGCGGGCTTACAGTAATAACCAACATCAATAATGTTTTTTTTGCCAAATCCTGAAGTTGATTTGGTACGATCAATATTCCGGCAAGGCACAGCACCTACCGGCAAAAAAGTCAGACTCGACAAAACATCGAGGTAACATCATTTATCGTACAGTAATTATTTTCCGCACGTGCTCATTATATATTCATACATTCATACACACATTCATACATTCATCATATACGCGCGTCATACATACATCTTGACATAAACACTTATTTTCCAAACCCTGAAGTTGGTTTGGCAAGGCTATACGCCCAATCGTTTCCAAACCCTGAAGTTGGTTTGGCGAGGCTAACGCCCTCCTCAAAATCATATGAAACATCGGGAGCATTACCCGATCGTGCAATAATTCAATAAAAATGAGGCCAATGTTCGGATATCGAGCTATCCGACCCGCTCCGTCGTGCGAACAATAAACAAAAATCGAGTCGTTTCAGTACGACATCAAAATCGCGAATCCCATAACAATATCATGGGGCCCAAGTATCCATGCAAAGCCATATCATTAACAGCATTACGGACGCGAATCCATTAAACCGCGTCATATTACACGCAAAACACGAAAATTGGGTACCAAATTACCCAACTAGGCCATCCAGGCCTCCATTTATATATAGCAATTTCAAAAAGTTGACTATCCACACCGTCAACTTCATTCAGAACAAAAACACGATTAGCATTAATACGTCAACACGTCAGGCCGGAGCCTGAGCTCGATCAATAAAGCAAGTATGGGTCCCAAAGTACCCGGACGACGTCCATACTTCGCAACATTCAGACATATTATAAAGCATAAGTCAGCCAAAATTGATTTTACATGTGACTTCAGAACAGTTCTATTCAGAACGTGCCCTAAAGTCGGGGGCCTACTGTTGATACCTAATTTTCGCCTCGCCTATTAAAATATTACACATGGATATATATATTAAATTCATATAAAATAGCAGGTTCTTTTACCTGATTTATATTGACCGAGTTCCCAGAAGACGGTCCATATTCAAACTCAATCAGAATTCAATGCCGTCAGCTCGGCCCAGATATCACAAAAAAGCCATTTATACAGACACGTCAATTGCTGACAAGACAAATACCAGTCGGAGCTATTATTTATTATTGGGCCCTGCGCAGTCATATTTATTATTGGGCCCTGAGCGGTCATATTTATTATTGGGCCCTTCGCGGTCATATTTTATTGTAAAAGTCCATATACGGGCCGATATTAGCCCAAATATATAGACGGGCTAAAGAAATAAGAGCAGAGGGAGGACAGTGGCGATTGTCCTTTATCTCAAAGGGAGCCACCGCCTCTAAAAGGAGATTCATTGCTGGAACAAAAAATATATACGATTCTTTCTTTTCAAAAAAATCTCTTGAATTGTTTTCTAACATTCTACATCAAAAACAAATCACAACAATTCATATTATCTTACACCTACTATTCACAGAATAGGGGTGTACATTTATGTTGTTACAATTTCGAACAACAACAACTTTAGCTCGAGACAAATTGCACATTAGTGACTAAACCCGACTGAATTAATTTTTTGTGTTCGAATTTTAGGTTGAATTGATTATATGTGTTTACTTTTAAAATTTTAGTTATTTCAGATCGATGTCAGTTTTATTGTTTTATTTATTTAATTTTTGTTTAGTAAACGAAATAACAGACCGACCGAACTATATAAAAAATATTTATTTTTGCCAACATAAAGAAAATGTGAGATAAATTGTTATTGTACAATTTACATAACAGTAATGTGTAATTTTAGTTATCCTAACGTGCAATTTACATAACATTATTGTGCAAATGTTTAATTTTTAAAAAATTATAAATTTGCCCATGGATTGAATTGTAATATACAAAAGTTTATCAAATTGCAATTAAGTACTTTAAACATATCAAATTTTCAAATAACAAGCACAAATTCTAATGGAAAAAAGGCTACAAATTCTAAAAATGCAAACTTTCTATGGTATGCATTCTGCCGGCGACGGCCCGGCGGGGCTGTGGCGGCGACGGGCGAGGACATGCTCGGCAGGGTGGTGTTT